TCGAATGTCGAAGGAGAGTTCTGTCAGCACGATGGCGTGGTGACGATCTTGATGTTCTACTGTCGCAGGGCTTCGCCTAAGCACCACTACAATATTATCGAGGAGGACTATGCTGGAGGGGGGCACCGCACACGGCTAAGAGATCAAGAGATCAATGGTTGTGTCTATGGGGTGCCCCCCTCCCCCGTATATAAAGGAGTGGAGGAGGGGGCCGGCCAAGGGGGGTGGCGCGCCCTAGGGGGGAGTCCAACTCCCACCGGGAGTAGGATTCCCGCCTTTCCTATTAGGAGAAGGAGAGGGAAGGAAGAGGAAGGAGGGAGGAAGGAAAGGGGGCCCGACCCCCTTCCCAATTTGGATTGGGCTTGGGGGGCGTGCCCCCTCCCTTGCTCCTTTCCCCTCCTTTCCACTAAGGCCCAATAAAGCCCATATACCTCCCGGGGGGTTCCGATAACCTCCCGGAGCTCCGGTATTGTCCCAATCTCACCCGGAACCTTTCCGGTGTCTAAATATAGTCGTCCAATATATCGATCTTTATGTCTCGACCATTTCGAGACTCCTCGTCATGTCCGTGATCACATCCGGGACTCCGAACAACCTTCGGTACATCAAAACTCATAAACTCATAATAAAACTATCAACGAAACCTTAAGCGTGCGGACCCTACGGGTTCGAGAACTATGTAGACATGACCGAGACACGTTTCCGGTCAATAACCAATAGCGGAACCTGGATGCTCATATTGGCTCCTACATATTCTACGAAGATCTTTATCGGTCAAACCGCATAACAACATACGTTGTTCCCTTTGTCATCGGTATGTTACTTGCCCGAGATTCGATCATCAGTATCCCAATACCTAGTTCAATCTCGTTACCGGCAAGTCTCTTTACTCGTTACGTAATGCATCATTCTGTAACTAACTCATTAGCTACATTGCTTGCGGGGCTTATAGTGATGTACATTACCGAGAGGGCCCAGAGATACCTCTCCGACAATCGGAGTGACATAACCTAATCTCGAAATATGCCAACTCAACATGTACATTTGGAGACACCTGTAGAGCTCCTTTATAATCACCCAATTACGTTGTGACGTTTGGTAGTACACAAAGTTTTCCTCCGATAAACGGGAGTTGCATAATCTCATAGTTGTAGGAACATGTATAAGTCATGAAGAAAGCAATAGCAACACACTAAACGATCAAGTGCTAAGCTAACGGAATGGGTCATGTCAATCACATCATTCTCCTAATGATGTGATCCCGTTAATCAAATGACAACTCATGTCTATGGTTAGGAAACATAACCATCTTTGATTAATGAGCTAGTCAAGTAGAGGCATACTAGTGACATTAAGTTTGTCTATGTATTCACACATGTATCATGTTTCCGGTTAATACAATTCTAGCATGAATAATAAACATTTATCATGAAATAAGGAAATAAATAATAACTTTATTATTGCCTCTAGGCCATATTTCCTTCAGTAACAAAAGTAACAAGGTGCAGCAAAGTGGCCCAATCCTTTTTGTAACAAAGGACAAGCTTGGAAAAACTCTTATATAACGCGAAGCACTCCCGAGGACACATGGGAATTATCGTCAAGCTAGTTTTCATCATGCTCATATGATTCACGTTCATTACTTTGATAAATTTGATATGTGGGTAGACCGGTGCTTGGTACTGCCCTTCCTTGGACAAGCATCCCACTTATGATTAACCCCTCTCGCAAGCATCCGCAACTACGAAAGAAGAATTAAGGTAAACCTAACCATAGCATGAAACATATGGATCCAAATCAGCCCCTTATGAAGCAACACATAAACTATTAAGCTTCTGTCACTCTAGCAACCCATCATCTACTTATTACTTCCCAATGCCTTGCCCTAGGCACAAACAATGGTGAAGTGTCATGTAGTCGACGTTCACATAACACCACTAGAGGAGAGACAACATACATCTCATCAAAATATCGAACGAATACCAAATTCACATGACTACTTATAACAAGACTTCTCCCATGTCCTCAGGAACAAACGTAACTACTCACAAATCATGTTCATGTTCACAATCAGAGGGGTATTAATATGCATAAAGGATCTGAACATATGATCTTCCATTGAATAAACCAACTAACATCAACTACAAGGAGTAATCAACACTACTAGCAACCCACAGGTACCAATCTGAGGTTTTGAGACAAAGACCGTATACAAGAGATGAACTAGGGTTTGAGAGGAGATGGTGCTAGTGAAGATGTTGATGGAGATTGACCCCCTCTCGATGAGAGGGTCGATGGTGATGATGATGATGAAGATTTTCCCCTTCCGGAGGGATGTTTTCCCGGCAGAACAGCTCCGCCGGAGCCCTAGATTGGTTCCGCCAAGGTTCCGCCTCGAGACGGAGGCGCTTCGTCCCGAAAGCTTCCTTATTATTTTTCCAAGGCAAAAGACACCATATAGCAGAAGATGGGTATCAGGGGGCTGCCAGGTGGCCCACGAGGCAGGGGGCGCGCCCAGGGGGTAGGGCGCGCCCTCCACCCTCGTGGACAGTGGGTGGCCCCCGCTCTGGTGCTTTCTTCCCCAATATTTTTAATATATTCCAAAACTGACTTTCGTGGAGTTTCAGGACTTTTATAGTTGTGCAGAATAGGTCTCTAATATTTGCTCCTTTTCCAGCCCAGAATTCCAGCTGCCGGCATTCTCCCTCTTCGTGTAAACCTTATAAAATAAGAGAGAAAAGGCATAAGTATTGTGACATAATGTGTAGTAACAACCCATATTGCAATAAATATTGATATAAAAGCATGATGCAAAATGGACCTATCAGTATTGTTTGTAGATATAAAATTTCACCGCGTAGTTATCTGAACTTTGTCAATGTTTAGTTGTTAATCATTGTGTCCATGTAAGTAGTACTCAAAGCCCTACGTGTAGTTATCTTTGTCTGCATTTAGTTTTAACTGGATTTTCTTACTTTTTACACTCTATGGTTAATGTGACTGAATTTAACCGAATCTTTTACTGTAGTACATTGGATTGTGTTGCGAGTTCAAATATTATTTGCAGGGAGGTGTAGATTGCAGAGTTGTTGATTGGGTTGATGAGACTTGGCCTGCCATACTATAGATGTGTCTGATAAAGCTTTGGGAGGTGTTTCATTACTACCTCCAGCACCGGTGGGAGCACCAACAGGTACACATTGGTTACCGAACATTGCCATGTTTCGTTTTCGGCTCGGATCAAGGTTGTTCCCACCAGCATTCATTACTTTTATTAGAATCAATCTCCATATTCTTATCATCCTCTAACATCAGATAATATATTGCCATTTGAATCAACTCTATCAGATTGGCTACTATCTCTAGCACGACCACTAGAGCGCATGACCCAATTTGCTCGCACATCCTTAAAGATTAGAGCTCATTGTGGGTGAAGTCCATCCCCATGCTATGTAAATAAATGCCCAATCATGTGACAAACAACACACCAATCAGGTAACCTTTCATACTTAGCTTTCAAGATATGCCTTTTCTTATCTTTAACTATAGAGACATGATTCCTTAATTGTTTCCTGACATCAACTACCACTTTTACTCGATAGAAGTTGCTGGAGAAGTCAGGGGCCCAACTTACTCTGGATCTTGGTCGTCGTTGGGGAATTTTAGATCCTCCACTACCGATGTGTAGGGGAATTGTGATCGAGCAAGGAGGACATCTGTCGCAAATTAACTTGGTGCAAGGGACCTTTTTGCAACGTTATCTGCATAGATCCCTCCACCCGAATCTCAGCCATCAATCACCCATCCGATGGTACATCCCATTTTCTATTTTTTCATCTCATTGTGAGATTCTGTTATAGTCGTTCCCGAAAAGTCACGTGAGTGATTTTCCTCCGCACAGAATTCACCCATGTTACCAGCTAAAGACTTCAACAAAAGCCTAAGCCCGTCCGGTAAGTCATGGATCTGCACCCACATCTTAAGCGTGTTCAAATCCACGGTAGAGAGTTTTGTGAAGCCATCACAAGGTGCCATTAAGACTAGACTTTCTCGGAACGTCCAAGGCCCTCCCTCTATCACTTTGTCCCAATCTCCGAAGCATGAAAACTGCATGGTGTACAAGTTATCGCCCCAACGATTTGAACTTCACCGTTTGAGCCAAATCCCAAGCATTACACATATTCTTATATTATAGAACCAAAAATAGCCATAATCCTTCGAGGAGTACACTACCGCAATAGCCGGCCATCAAGTAGAGATCATCGACGATGGCTCCTCTTCCTCAAAGACGATATTATCCCGGTCGTCCCCGGTGATCCCCAACAGGCGTATCATCTCTTCAAGGTCTTCTTGTCATCCGTACCCGACGCAGATGCATCAACTGCCATGGATAGGATCCTTCTCGTGTCACCCCTAACCCTAGAAACTCGACCTGCAGCAGACCCCAAACGCGTCCCGCCAAGGCCGGGAGGTGACACACGATCACCCCTAGATCAGTCCGAGTGGTCGCAGAACAGGGAGGAAACAGCCGTGGAGGACGAGGACTCAACGTCGGACGGGGTGGCGAGAGGATGAAGGCCTAGCGTGAGGGAAAAAAACAACATTATCCTTTGATAATGGAGTTTCCTTAAGATGTGTTTTCGCATAATTGGCCCACAGAATTACTTAAATAAAAATCGCCAAAAAAGAATTTCTTAAATAATACATACCAAAAGAAAAAACTTAAGGTTAGGCAAGTTTGGTTTGTGACTAACTTTGCCAAAGATTGTCACACATAAGGTTAGGCAAGTTTGATCAACTTAGCCAAGTGTTTGGTTCTAGCTATACCTTTGGCAAGCCACACTTGGATCCCACATAGCATACACACAAAAAGCGTGACAAGATTTTCTTAGGCTTGCCAACTTGTGACTTTTATTTTGATGAACTAATCTGAGGAAAGCTTGGCAAAAATATATGACAAAGTGTGGCAATGGTAGGCCTGTAACCAAACATGCCTTTAAATGCACCTGACGGCAAAATGGCGGTTTGCTTCGCTCTCTGGTCGAATCGATTTATACTCTCCACTCTCATCTCCCTCCCGTGCCCGAAGAAATCCCCACCTTTGCCTCTCCTTCCTCCGAACCCTAACCCCAGCCATGGCCCCCGGCGCGGCGGTCGCCGCCAAATCCGATGACGAGGACGACTACGAGGAGTATATCCCCGTCTCCAAGCGCAGGGCCATGGAGGCCGACCGCCTCCGCCACCAGCGCCTCTCCAAGCCCGCCGCCGCCGCCTCCGCGGGCTCCCTCCCACCGCCTCCGCCCCCGCCGACGGCCAACCCCGCCGCCGCCCCCGATGACGCTGCCCCCGCCGCCAAGCCCAGCCTCCTCGTCACGTCCACGCAGCTCAAGCGCGCGGCCCCGGAGGTCACCGCCACCGAGCAGATCATCCTGCAGGAGAAGGAGATGATCGACAACCTCTCCAACAAGAACACGCTCATGTCCGTGCGGGAGCTCGCCAAAGGCATCACCTACACCGAGCCGCTCCGCACCGGCTGGAAGCCGCCGCTGCGCCTCCGCCGCATGCCGCGCAACAAGGCCGACGAGCTCCGCCGCAAGTGGCACATCCTCGTCGAAGGCGACGAGATCCCGCCGCCCGCCCGCGACTTCCGTGACCTCCGCTTCCCCGAGCCCATCCTCCGGATGCTCCGTGAGAAGGGCATCGTGCAGCCCACGCCCATCCAGGTGCAGGGGCTTCCCGTGGTGCTCTCCGGGCGCGACATGATCGGCATCGCCTTCACCGGGTCCGGGAAGACTCTGGTGTTCGTGCTGCCCCTCATCATGGTGGCGCTGCAAGAGGAGATGTTGATGCCTATTGTGCCTGGGGAGGGCCCGTTTGGCATGATCATTTGCCCATCACGGGAGCTGGCCAAGCAGACATATGATGTCATCGATATGTTCCTCACTCCACTCAAGCAGGCTGGATTCCCAGAAATACGGCCATTGCTTTGCATTGGGGGTATAGACATGAGGACACAACTCGATGTGGTGAAGAAGGGCGTACATATTGTGGTCGCCACACCTGGACGGCTCAAGGATCTTCTCGCCAAGAAGAAGATGAACCTTGACAACTGCAGGTATCCATTGGATTTTTGTGATTGATTTGGTGTTTTTATAGCTTTGACAGATAACAGAGTATAACTGTTCTGCTAGTCTCATAGGTTCATAATTTTCTACTTAGTGCGTTGAGCCAGATAATGAAGTTTGAACTAAAGCTCTGTTATGGCTGAATTGCTAATATGAAAGCTACATAGGATATGCTTTTCAACAATAATAACCCTGTTTCCGAATAAGCTCAAGAAATACACTTACTCCCTTTGTTCTAATCTTGACTAAAGATCTTGGGATATGTTAGTGTGGATGGACTGAGTTTATTTCTGATGGGTAAAACATGTAATTCGTCAGTGAATGTGATGTACATTTGTACATTGCAATAGGGGTGATCACAAGATAATGTTGCTGATGTGAGTGATGGAGGAAGATGAGACTAGACCGGGTAGAGAAGATTTGAGATAAGGACTTGCATTGTTCAAGAACCCTGTTTTCTGATAAGCTCAAGAAAATATACTTGCCTTTGTTCTAAACTTAACTAAAATTCTTGGGATGCATTTTTTTTGGATGGACTGGTGAGTGTATTTCTGATGGATAAATCATGGTAATTCGTCAATAAATGTGATGTACATTTGTACATTGCAATAGTCAATAGGGTGACCGCCAGACAATGTGGCTGATGTGAGGGTTGCAGAGGAAGATGAGACTTGACTGGGTAGAGAAGGCGGTGAGATAAGACTTCATTGTTCTTGATTAATGCCAACGATTACAATAGTCATCATCGAAGGCTCTCCTAACAAATATTGGCCAGATCTGAGATTAGACTAAATGTCCTTGTTTAACTGAGTAGCGGTGGTGATGGCCTGGGGAGGACTACAGGAGTAAGATGAGACCATAGACTGTAGAGAAGATTTTGGATGAGACAGTTTGATTGTTCTTGGTTACTCGTTAATGCCGACAATTACAATAGGCATTGTTATATAGTGGGTTCTCCTAGCAAACATAGGCCATATCAATCTAAATGTAAACATGCTTGGTAGATCAAAGAACTAATCCTCATAGCTGGGAAGTAACTAAACTATTGGAAAATAAATAGATTGGCCTGGTGGAACCATCCTGATCATACATGCTGACCCACTGCTACCAAGATGTTACTTGCATGGACAATGCTGGTGTATGGTAATTTCTGCATGCATGAATTTGTGTGGATGCTCCATTATCATCCATGCTGTATGATGAGACCCAACTAGATGGCGAGTCGTTCGTTGGCCCAATCTTTCACGGTACAGGAAAATCAGCAACGAACCACGACAAACAATTCTCGTAATAGCAGAAATAGACGACGAAGTAGCGGATCGGTTCTTTGGATCAAGCAATATGCTAGAAGACCAAAGAATAAAACTTACGAACGGAATCGATCGGATCGAACCGGCCGTGCAGCAGCAACTTAATCTCTCCAGATTTAGCAAAACAACTTAGATATTTGGCGCATCCTGATGTGATGCTTTTCTCTGTCTTTTTTTTAACTCCAAAAAACTTCTGTCCCGTACAATGACCCAAACTGCCTTGTTATAAAGGCGACGTACACAGAAGCCACGGCCAAACTAATCGCTAACCGACTCAACCACGTACGCGTAAAAAGATTTAGTACCTAACAAGTTTTCTCCTTTTACATCTCGGAGAGAAACATCTATTTATTTAACCTTCCTAACACAACTTATCCTAGACCTCTCCCGTGATACTAGTACTCTCTTAATTAAGAAAACTAATTAATTACTCCGGCCACGTTGATCACCCAAGTCCTAAAATATAATAAGAAAACATAAAGGAATTTCTTCTTTGCATGCTTGAGATTACCACCTTGGAGGAGTTCTAAAGTTTGGCTTCACTTCTTGTGAAACTACAAGCTGGATTGCAACGTCTCCTATATAAACAACGGGCACCTCCATGCAACTAGCAGAAACTCCCAAGTCTCCTTTCTTCTTCGATGCAGCACATGGAATAGCGCCTAGGATGCCTGCACCGGTCCACTTTAAATCTTTCTTCGTACCTTCTGGCAGATTATGAACTTGTGAAATAGTGGTAGCCGTAGAACTAGTCTGAGTGGCTAATGGCACAACAATGGCACTAGTGTTCACATCACTGTACCTCATCACCACAAGAACTCGTTATACAAGTGATGCACATAGGAAACAAATACTGTTCACAAGCTAATTTGGAAGTAGTAACATAGCCTTCTAGATTAGCACCTTTAAGCAGGGCTTAGTGTTTTGATTTACTAACGATAAAGGTAAATGTAAGACTTCCGAGTAGAAGTGATATATTGAAAAGGAGTATGTTGTTGTTTCTTATTGAACTGATGCATTAGCCAAGTTTCTCAAAAGTCCGAACTATGGGAGAGGGTCGGACATTATACTCCAACACCTCTCCTCACGTCTATACTCCTTTGGAGTTCATGACGTGGGCAGTGGAAGCAGGGGCAGGTCGCAATTATTTTTTGCGTTTACTGTGTTTTGAACCCTAAACCTCTTGGTTGAGTTTATGCACCTAACCAGTTCACCGATCAGTCTGAACTGATGGAAAAGACTAGGCAACATATTTTAACACTCCCCCTCACGTCTAGGCTGTGGACATACAGGAACACCTTAGACATGGGATCGAGATTAGATCGCAACTATTTTTGTATTAAATAGTGCGTTGGCCAGGATTTGATCCCGAGACCTTGTGGCTCCGATACCATATTGAACTGATGCATTAGCCAAGTTTTTCAGAAATCGGAACTATGGGAGAGGGTCAGTGTTATGGCGCTGCTAGAAGGAGGGCGCAAGAAGGCCGGCCGGGGGCCTTTTGCCCACGGCCGGGCAAGATGGAAGGATTTCCTTCTTGATTCTTGCTTGATTAGATTGATACATCTCCTCTCTTTATATAGAGAGGTTTACTTGACTTCCAAGCAAGGCTTACTTGACCCCTAAGCAAGCGACTCTTATCTCTAATTAACCCTAAGACTAACGGGCCCATTAGGCCCATTACGTACTCTAACACTACACCCCACCTGGACATGCAGCTTGTCCTCAAGCTGCAGCCTAACCAACTTATAACCATGACTCGACGCAACCCAAACCTAACACCTAAAAATAAGCCTTTTACATCTCGGCTTGTTTTATTATTCTCAACCTGAAATGGACTGGGACGCTTTATTTTGGACCCTTAACAAAAACTGAACACCATCCGCACGTCGGACATGCACGTGTACAGCCACCTGGATCCCATGGACACCTGGATCCCATGGACACCATCTGGACAAAAGGAGTGCATGTGTAGGACCACCTGGAAGTGGTCGCAAGAGTGACCAGCAGAGGCGCCCTTGCGGCGCCCGGTGACGGAATGCAGTGGTGCTACGTGGTGCGTTGTTGTCGGTGACACCATGCCTTCTTCCTGCCGGACGGCTGTTGGTCTGCACCGCACAGGGAAGAGTGGGGGGCTTGCGATGGAGAATGACGAGGAGGGGTGCGCTCCCCCAACCGCCAATGTCGCAGACTTGGAGGTCACTGCCCATGGGGAAAACAGCATGCCCAAGATCCCCGACGCAGTGGACGAGATCGAGGTCCTTTGCGCAGCGAAGCGCAACTGGGAGGAGCGGCAGCTGCAGACCACGCAACTCCCGCACACGCCGACGCGCTAGGAGGCCGCGTGCAGCAGCCTGCAGCCTCACCGTCGTCGACACGTGGCGGGTAGTGATCCAAGCTGGAAGCGGTGACGGCGACGGCGGAAGCTTGATCTGCTGGATGGGGACGCCCTGGGGAAGCGGTGATGGCGACGGCGGGAACTTGATCTGGTGGATCGGGACTCCCGTCGGCGCGGTCGATGCGGGGCCGGAGCTGACCGATGATGGCTGCTGCAGTTGCAGCGGCTGCTGCGGCGGAGCGCCGGGCGCGGTGGAGGTCGCCAGGAGCGGTGGCTGCCACTGCAGCCAGGGCGGGGCGGTGGATGGCAGCTGCTGCAGCGGCCCGATGAGCGCGGCGGAGGCCACCTGGTGCGGCGGCTGCCACGGCAGCCAGGACGGGGCGGTGGATGGCAGTTGCAGCGGCTGCTGCAGCAGCCTGACGAGCGCGGCGGAGGCCGCCTGGTGCGGCGGCTGCCATGACAGCCAGGACGGGGCGATGGATGGCAGCTGCAGCGGCTGCTGCAGTAGCCCGGCGAGCGCGGCGGGGGCCGCTTGGTGCGGCGGCTGCCACGGCAGCCACGGCGGTGCGTTGGCGGTGATGGGCGGCGCGGCCGGGTGCGGCCCATAGGACCCGGCCAAGAACAGGTGGATCTCTTGGACCGCCTGTGTTAGGTCCCGCAGCGCCCCGGACACCTCCGGGGTGAGGACGACGGGGGCGGGCGCGACGGAGGATCCCGGCGCGGGCAGGAGCGGGGCGACGGTCGTGACTGGCAGCGGAAGAGACGGGTTGGGCGGCGGTGAAGACATGATCGAACCGAAGCTAGCTGATACCAAATTGTTATGGCGCTGCTAGAAGGAGGGCGCAAGAAGGCCGGCCGGGGGCCTTTTGCCCACGGCCGGGCAAGACGGAAGGATTTCCTTCTTAATTCTTGCTTGATTAGATTGATACATCTCCTCTCTTTATATAGAGAGGTTTACTTGACTTCCAAGCAAGGCTTACTTGACCCCTAAGCAAGCGACTCTTATCTCTAATTAACCCTAAGACTAATGGGCCCATTAGGCCCATTACGTACTCTAACAGTCAGACATTATACTCCAACATTTCTTGACTTCATGTTCATGTTAATTTTCCTGACTTCTACACTGCAGTTATATGTCTGGTATCAATTCTATTGTTGAAGTCTGCGCCTTAGTAGCGACAATCTATAATTTCATAGCTCAACCTTTATAATATGCACTGCAATTTGTGAACTTTGCATAATTTTAAGTATGCACTGCTCCCAATGAAGAATAAGATACATAAAACGATGCAGTGTTGAATTTTTAGGTTTCACTAATACACGCTGTTTAGTTTTAAACCATCCTCAGTTGCTGATTTCCTTATACATGCTGCATAGTTGTACGAATGTTGAAAGTTGAGTGGCTCTGGACCAAATGTAGGGGATTAGAGCTGTCAATCCTCCATGCTCCATATGTATGCACTGTGAAGTGTCACTGTTCAAATACCAGAATATACCCCCATTACCTAGGAGATAACCGTTTTTTAAATGCAAATGTTTTAGCCTGTATTTTATTGTTCTACATTGGATCATTCATACTAGTAAAACCTCTTTGAGCTTCTTAAGAAGTACCACAGACTGTTCAAAATTCTTAATAGCACTTTTCTTGATATGCACAGGTATTTAACTTTAGATGAAGCTGATAGGCTTGTTGATCTTGGATTTGAGGATGACATTCGGGAGGTTTTTGACCATTTCAAGGCACAAAGGCAAACCCTTCTTTTTTCTGCCACTATGCCCAAGAAGATTCAGAACTTTGCAAAGAGCGCCCTTGTGAAGCCAGTAATCGTCAATGTTGGAAGAGCCGGGGCAGCGAATCTTGATGTCATCCAAGAAGTTGAGTATGTCAAGGAAGATGCCAGAATTATATACCTCCTTGAATGCCTTCAAAAGACTCCACCTCCTGTTCTTATATTTTGTGAAAACAAAGCTGATGTTGACTACATCCATGAGTATCTTCTTCTAAAGGGTGTGGAAGCTGTTGCAATCCACGGAGGCAAAGATCAGGAGGAGAGACAGAATGCGATTGAGTTCTTCAAGAATGGAAAGAAGGATGTTTTGGTGGCTACTGATGTTGCCTCAAAGGGTCTTGATTTCCCTGATATCCAGCACGTGATTAACTATGACATGCCTGCCGAAATAGAGAACTATGTCCACAGGATTGGTCGAACCGGTCGATGTGGGAAAACAGGAATAGCAACTACGTTCATCAACAAGAACCAGACAGAGACTACGCTTCTTGACCTCAAGCACCTGCTCAAGGAAGCGAAGCAAAGAATACCACCAGTGCTTGCTGAGCTCGTTGATCCGCTAGAGGATGCTGAAGCTATTGCCAAGGAGAGTGGTGTCAAAGGATGTGCATTCTGTGGTGGTCTTGGGCATCGTCTTGCTGACTGTCCAAAGCTGGAGCACCAGAAGTCTGTGGCGATCGCCGGCTCCAGAAGAGATTACTACGGCGGTGGAGGTTACCGAGGAGAAATATGATTGCATCATATTATTAAGAGTGTATGCTTTCTCAAGGGGTAAAATACTGCAGCTTGAGCTCATCCATGCTTGAGATATACCTCATGCAATCTGAAGTTCTGTCTTAGTCATCGTGTCATAGAAGATTTGTCATCACATTGTGTTTCAAGTGATGATGGCTTGATGTAATATATTTTTCTGCATACGAAGCTGTACCGTTGTAAAATGTAATATTGAGTGGCAGATTTTCCGGTGAGGAGGGTATTATTTCTTGAGCACTAGTATCATTTCTAAATATCATCACTTACATTATGAGACTGAGGGAGTAACAGATAGCGAGGGTTGTGAAGTTGTAATGGTTATATTGGCCATCTGTTTTTTCCCTTCTTATTTTGGATAGGAGATATGGACCATCCGCACCAGTTGCTTCTGAAAGATTATATTTCCACTGCTAACTTTGGTGCTGCAGACGAGTAAAGGCTTTGGCCTATCCATCCAATTTATTCTGCATTTGCCACCTAGGTTCATATAGTAGTCTATTTTTTTTTGCGAAAGCATATATTGTAGTCTACTCCCTCCGTCCGGACGGAGGGAGTATATGGTACGCAAAATATAATTATATGGGTTCTTAGAAATTAATCGTATCTAATTGGAGCCCACAACTTTCCTTTCTTCCGCTCAAAGAAAGAAAAGGTGACCTTGTCGCTAGGAGTCTCCCACGCCGCCGCCCTCCGGCGGCCCCCTTCGTCGGCGGCCTCGGTTTTCGGTGGTGAGAGGGGTTGCCGGATTCACGTGTGTGGATCGTCTTTTACTAGTAGTTTAGATTTTTAGGTTGTTCATCGTCTTTGCTTCGGCGGCGGCGATGGCGGCGCTAAATAAAGTTTCTTCAGATCCTACTCCGACAGGCGATCGGTCCTATGGTTGGGGATGGATTTGGAAATCAGTCTGTTCAAGTAAGGATGGCGTGGCGGCGGCGACATCCTCGTGGTGGACCTGTGTCCTCGGGTTCCGCCATTGCGACGGCGTTTGCTCCAGTGCCGCCGTGGAGCTTGGGAGGTAGTCCAGGAGCGGATGCAGATTGTGGTCTGTATCGGCGGCATCTGGAAGATGGTGGATCGTGTGTTGGGTTCGTGGTTTGTGGATGGCAGGTGTGGTTTTCTCCTCTGGCGTCTTAGTCGTGTGGGGGTGCCAGATCTAGAGTTCGATGGCGTGTTCGGGGTGTTACCCTGGTCTGATTCGTTCAATGGTAATGGTTTCATTTTTGGTGAGCCACCTTGGAGGTCCGCAAAGCTGCATATCAGCGATGGAGCCGCTTCGAGCTCGGGTGTGAAGGTGATTCGTCTTTTTTTTTCTTTGGTGGTTGCTATGGTGGTTTCAGAGGCAGGTGACGAGCGTTGGTGTCAAGTTCCGAGGATTCTTCGGTCTTGATTGTAATTTTACTTCTTGGCTGTTGTTCCTTTGTGTAAAGGCTAGTGATTTGCTGTCCTTTCAGATTTGCCAGATTGGTTTATACGTGTCTTGTAACATAATCCTTATAATATAATGAGACATGTATTACCATGCAAAAATAATAATTGGAGCCCAAGGCAAGCAGTCCATTGCACAGCACTCAGCAAAAACGAACAACCGAATCGTGCAAATGCTAACAACCAAATCGCCAAAAGAAAATATACAATAAAATATACTCCGTCCGTGGACGGACTGAAATAAGATGTTCTAACTTTTTTAAGCGGATCTATATAGATATATTTTAATTAATGCCTTTGTTTACTCGTTTCTGTATTAAAATTCTTATAAAATGTCTTATGGTAAGTACTCCCTTCGTTCCAAATTACATTCATTTCTGAGACAAGTAATTCCGAACGGAGGGAGTATGAACAAAGGTGATAATTGGTAAAGCTAAAGGCTCCTGAAATTGAGAGGTAGGTGAGGAAACAGGAGGATGGCTGGAGTTGTTCCAGTAAATCCAATTTATTTCATCGCCATAATCCTAGAACGGAGCACAAACACGTAGTCCGGTGAAGAGAGCATCAAGGTGCGTTAATGAAGGCGACGATCCTGTCGAGCATCTCCTTGGCCTTGTCGCAGTCGGGCTTGAAGAGGTAGAAGACGTGGCCCTCCCCGTCCGTCTCCAGCAGCTCCACTCCCTTGTCGGCGGCGGCCAGCGCCTCCGCGTACGCGCGGCCGCGCCACCTGAGGAAGTCGCCCTCCGCCGTGCACACCATGACCCTCTCGCACGCCAGCGCCCCCAGCCCCGGCGCGCCGGGCGCCATGGGGTTCATCCGCGGGTCGTCCATGCCGCTGGTGCCGGGGCACGCGAACATCCAGAGCCCCGCGCCCCGGGCGCGCGCCGCGGGGTCGGTTGTTTCCTCCCCCACGGCCTCGGAGCCCCAGAACCAGGGGTGGATCAGCACCGCGCCCCCGAGGCGCGCGGCGCCCGGCTGGATGGCGACGTGGTGGCAGATGTTGGCGCCGGCGCTGTCGCCGGCCACGAAGACGCGGCCGAGGTCGCCGTGCGCCGCGACCCAGGGGTCGGCCGCGGAGAGCACCCAGCGGAGGGCGTCGAGGCAGTCGTCGTAGGCCGCCGGGAGCGGGTGCTCCGGGGCGAGGCGGTAGTCGAGGGAGACGCCGAGGGCCGGGCAGGCGGAGGTGAGGTCGTTGAGGAAGCGGTGGTAGTTGGGGGACTTCGCGGACTCTGCCACGAAGCCGCCGCCGTGGACGTAGACGATGACGGGGAGCTTCGCCGCCGTGCCGGCCGCGGCGGATGGGGGCAGGTAGAGGCGGGCGGAGTAGGCGCCGAGGTCTACGTCCTTGGACTGGACACCCGTGGAGGGGTCGGGCCCCGGCGCGACGGGCGGGAGCACCAGGGGGCGCTCGATGCGGCCGCTCTTGTAGACTCGGAGGAGCGGGCCGAACTCGTGCAGCAGCTCGTCGGCGGCGGGTGCGGGTGCGGGTGCGAGTGCGGTGTTGGACGCCATGCTCTCTCCCTCTCTCTCTCACTGGCGAATGCTCGGGGGTGAGGTTGTGTCGTGTGTATTTGTTTCCTGGGTGGGATGTCCGGATGAAATAGACATCGCGGTGTACTATCTGTGCCTTGGGATCTCCGGATGGGAAAAGGCATCGCGCGAACGGCGTGGCGGTGGACTGATGGCGTGCGGTTGAACCGACAAACGCTTCCCGTCCGCCGGTCTGGCTGGCTTGCGACAAATGCTTGACCGTTCGACGCGTTTACACTCTCTACTTGTTCTACTATTCACACCGAAATGATGTACAAACAGCTTGTTCTGGCCGGATCAGCTACTGATCA